TTCGGGGGCTTTACCTTTAAAGTCCGGGCGAGGTGGGGCCGAACTAGCAGTGGGTCGACTACCTATCGAGTTCGTGGGTCAATTTTTGGGCTGGCTAGTGGAAGTTCGATAAGGGTTTGGTTGGGCATCAAAATGTCTAGTGTGGGAGTGGGTCTTGGACTCTTCTAGGTCAAGTATCAGGCTGCATGCGGCCTCTAAGGTGTCTACTCCTCTAGCAAAAAGTTCAATTCTAAGATCTTCTCTAAGGCCAGCTCTAAACATAGACAGGATTTGTGTTGGGGTAGCAGATTCCTCGCCGTTGCAACGAATCAGGAAATCGTCGAAGGCGTAGATGTAATCTTTAACAGGCTTGCTCCCCTGGGTTAGCCGATTCCACTTATCTAGAAGCTTAGGGTAATAGGAAGGTGGTAGGTATTTTCTCCTCAGTTCCTGTTTCATAGTCCTCCAATCGTTTATCGGATGTTCTCCTCGAGATTCACGTCTATTTTCTAAGTTGGTCCAGTAAAGGTTGGCTCGACCAGTGAGTTTAATTTCAGCGAATCTAACTTTCTTCTCTTCAGAGATGTTGTACCATTTAAATTAGCTATTCATCGATTTGAGCCAATCCAGGAAAACTTGAGGGTCAAGGGTCCCGTCGTATGTTGGGGCGTCAATCCTAATATTTTTTAGTAATTGAGCGTCGTTGTATCTCCAAGGGTTGTCGTTCCCTATGGGCTCTTGATGGGGTCTTGGGTTATGTTGGTAATGGTCTTGAAAATGTCTGGGATCGCAAGGTTGGTCATGATCGGGTCTGTTGCCCTCGCCATAAGGTGAGTGAGGTCTCGACGGTGTGTAGATTGCAGGGTTTCTCATATGCTCGATATTATCTAGTCGGTCACTCGTATGACATCTAAAGTCAGCTAAATTTGTTTGGGTGTTGCGGATCTGTTGTGTAACTGATCCCAATTGCCCCACTATGAGGTCTAAAGTCGCTTGCAAGTGCTCCGGATCCATTGGTTAAAGTTGGGGAATGCTATGGGTGGTTTACTGGAGAGGGGCAGCAAGGAAATAAGTAAGTTAAAGCACTTAAATGTTGCTAACTGAAGCTGAAACGGAGTGGATAGAAAACTACAGCAACTAGGAAAATTATTCTAAGTGTTCAGAGAGACTCCTATGGTGTTGAAAGCACCTAGGACTTAAGTTATAGACTCCCAACGACCTATAAACACTGCAGGAAATTAACAGGCAGTAGTCAAACAAGTGTCTAGACACCCTAAACAGTGAATAACAACTGCAAGAAATTGGGGACAGCAGAGTTAAATCAAGCCGTAGTTGTTCTAAACACTTAGGGATCTTCCCAAACAAAAGGCCAACACTAAGATGCTAGTTAATATGACCTAACTCAGCTAGATGAGTGCAGGAAAAGCAGAAAAATAGTAACAAAATAGTGAAAGTTGGTTATCTAAGCAATGATATGCATACAAGTTTTGAACTACCACAAGAAACTAGACCCTAGGATGCTTTCTATGCATGTCAAGCATGGTAACCATGCTCTGATACAAAAAATGATGTGATGCAAGTGATGAGTTACACAAGATTAAAAGAAGATTTAAACACTAGATCAACCAACTATATAATCATGTTTCCAATTAAATTTGGTTACAAGAATTCGTAGTGTTTAACTCGTTTAGGCAAAGAAATTACAAAGAGATAACCAAACTATTTAAGCAAATACAAGGGAAAACATAAAGTTAAAAGCTAGTGAATGGAATCCAACGATTAATACGAAGTTGTTCAACTTGAGGCCTCTTCTCTCTTTCCTACGAAACTAGATTGAGCGGCGGAAGATCGTCCAAACTAGTAGTGAGGTTACCACGAGGAGGGAGGAACCAATGATTGTAGCCACGGGGAAGGAGCTTGGAGGTGGAGGTGGCGCGGGAGGATGACCTTTAATGATCCACGTGTAGACGGAAAAGTGGTCGTCGATGGAATCCACTAGTGTTGTTAGAATCCGATCCAAATATTCTTCGACGGTGTCGTCGAAGTCAAAGCCTACGTCAAAGAAGGGATGTCAACTCTTCCTTGGTTGTCGTACTCAAACCCGAAGTTCCACTCAGGTTCTTCCATGCATTCTTGCAAGTGAAAACGGGTGGTCGCCACAAGAGGGATCTCCAAAGGGAGGGAGAGAGGGGCGGCGGCTTGGAGAGGGGAGAGGATTTGAGCCGTGGGTTTATAGAAGATGTGGGATTTCGGTTGGGAGGGAGAGAGGGGAGAAGAGGTGGCTGCTTTGTGTGAGAAACAAAAAAAAAAAGAACAAATTCTGGATTCTCAATTCAGGTCTTGATTAGGGAATAAAAGACTGGGCATTAATTTCAAATCAGAATTTGAAATTAAAATTTGGTTTAGCGAGAGAAAGGAATAACTGAAATAATAAGAAGTGATTAGGTAGCAATTAGTGAGATAATTAAGAGACAAGGGTGTCTGGCTATATGGCAAAGATATAGGCTTTGGAAATTAGAAAGTGGGGCCCACGTTAGAAAAAAATAATTCTTTCAATCAAATCTGAAATTGTAATTTCAGGTTTGAATATATTTTAAGTAACTCCCAAATTTGAGGTATTAAGAAGGAATAGAATTTTGAATTAAAAAAAATAAACGTTAATCCCCTTAAATAACTTTCTTAATTTGATGAAGATCAGTTAGGAAAGTAACTTAATTAAGGGTATTTTGAAATTCAAACCCGTTTGGGTCCAAGGGGGAAGATCCGGCGGCAAGGGGTTTGTTGGACGGTGGCTAGGGGTCACAGCGAGTGCTGGATGGGGGAAGTGGGGTCGGCAGACGGGCTAGCATGGGCGGGATTAACTTGGCCGGCGGCCAGTTCTCTGACCACGCCAACAAAGCTGGCGACAAGGAGAATTGGAGAGGGAGTTCTAGAGTTGGAAGCAGCAATTTTATTTAAAAAAAAATTTAGAATTTCTAGACTCACTCTCCTCTTCTTCAAGCTCTCAAAGGGAAGTAATAAGAATTCCGGAACTCACATAGAGATCCACGAATTTTCCATCAAGAACTCACGGAGAGAACTAGGGGAATGGAGAACTCACAAAGAGATCAATAGTAGCAAATTTTATTCAATCATTCAATAGCTCATACATGATACAAGGGGCCATATAAATAGGCTCCAAATAAAAGCAAATGAAAAAGTCTAAAATGCCCCTCGGTCTACAAGATAAAACTAATACCCACAAGGGTAAAATGGGAAAAAACTGAAAAGTAACAAGTAATGTAAGAAATGCGGATACAATAAATCATCAGTAGTAAAGTGAGTTCCTCTTTTTTTATTCTTTTATCTTAAGCTTTAAAAACTTTCTCTTCCTTATCTATTGTTTTTTATTCTTTTATTTAGATAAGGATTGTTTGAACATCTTTTGATATTCATTAATGGGTCTATCAATAATAAGTTTTGTTTCTACTCAATAAATAAGATCATCGTAGGAGTAAACTACATCTCACATCAATGATGATTACAAAGATCCAAGGCATCCATGAAAAATACATCCTGATAACTTAGGACCAGCTCATTAATTTGATGTGCCTCTATAGAGAATCTTTAAAGTATTTCTTAAGAGTTTCTACGTTATTATAGAGAATCCTAGTTTGAGGATGATGACGAGTCCTTAAAAATCCTTTGATTTGTAATAAATTACTCAATGAAAATTTAGCGAGCATGATGAAGGTGTGTATAGTTTTATTTTAGAGAGAAAAGAACCTAATGTGAGCTTGATTGTTAAGTGTGGCAAGTAGGGGTGTCAATTTAGGGTCACGGGTCGAGTTCGGGTCAAACCCGAACTGACCCGGATGCAAAACGGGTCAACCCTAACCCGACCCGGGTAGAGAAACGGGTCGAAAATCTTAACCCGGACCATGTGAGACCTACCAAAAGAAAGAATTAAAAGCTTGTTGCATATGGATGTAGTCGTATAGTGGTTAATATGATTGTATAAATTAGCAGACCCATTATAATGATTTATCTTAAAACCCACTAAAATGAGATGGCGAATAATTACAGTAGTTTAGGGTGAAATTTTGAAACTATGACATGGAGTGAGTTGAATTTTGTCCCTCAAAGAGAATTCCTAATGAGAAGTTGATGTTTATATCTCATGATATCATGAAGGTTATCAACAAGGTAAGGTTAGATCAATTTCTCCAAGGATATTACATGATCATGGGCTAGTTGGGAAGCATACAATGATTTGTTGAACTGACAGTAATGAGGAGATCTTGGTAAAGTCATGGTCAAGGAATTTCAACATGATGATGATGAGAGGGACCTACATGAGTGCCATCATTGATTAGCTTTTTAAATTTTGCTAAAAGTTCAAGCTCCTCTTCATGTGAAGAATGAGGTATGTTTATAATTTCCTTAAGTAAAATTTTATTAATTTTAACTTGAATCTCAGAAAAACTCCATTGAATGGTGTATTTTTATTCTTTTGATCATCTATTAATATTTATCATAATGACTTTAAAATTAAATAATCTTAGACTCATATGCTCATTTTAACCACAAGAAAGTGAGATTTGAAGATTATTCAACTCATCAATTAATATCATCAAGTTTCTAAATGTGCTTTTGGTGCTTGATTAAGGCTCATTTCAAGTCAAATTAGATCATTATGATATCATCTAATCAAAACGTTCATTTCATTTATAAGTTTGTTGAAATCAAAGACCGAATGGTCCTAAATTGAATGTCAAAATTTTCTATTAAAATATTAAATCAAGGTTCATGCTTAATTAAATGAATTTTTGCATGATATATCAAAAACATTTTTATCAAAATTTAGATCAAGATGAATATAAAAAAATTAAAATTATTTTCAAATAAAATAAAAATAACTAACATTATATTTATTTTAAAATATATCAAAAGCTTTGAGATATGTTATTCATAATAAATTACCGTTAGTCATAACATTGTAATTGATCTAAGGGTCTGGTTTTTTCGCATATGCTTCACGGATTAACTTGGGCGAGCCGCTTCATCTGTAAGCAAACTATGGGATCGGAGGGTTGATCCAGCACAGAGAGAGCGGGCAAGAGAGAGTGTGTGTGAGGATTGTGGAAAGGTGGGTGAGAGGGAGATGGGATGCGAGTCGACGGCGGCGTCTCCGAGCGGGAAGCGGGGGAGGGATCCGGAGGAGGAGGTCTACCTTGACAATTTGCATTCACACAAGAGATATCTTAGTGAAGTAAGTTGTATAAATATTTGAATGTCGATGATTTATCTTCCTTTTTCGATCTTTTGAAATCCACACTTTTTCCTATTTGTTTTTTCTAACATTTTCGCTTGTTCTTTCCCGTGTTTCTGCAATTCCTTGCAATAAAAATATGATGTTTTGAAGGCGAGTCTTGATTTTAATCTTTGTATCTATCTAAATTGATCATTTTCCGAATTCGCAGTCGCTTTTTATTAATTGCACCACCACCAGTGTTAGATTGATTCCTTCAGAAATTTCCTTGTCTGATGGTTATTGTTACCATTGTTTGATATATTGGTTTCTATAAGGGAAATAAACTTGTTTTTTGTTGGTCTTCGAATGCCATTTATGGCTTGTCCGAAATTCTACTTTTATTTTGACTAATTGTACAAAATGCTAGCCGTCATTTACTTGTTGCGCTTCTTCTGCTGCTTGGGCTTTGAATGTGCTAACAAGCAGTTCGATTAATTTCCTTAGTGGTTTGGTGGTTTGGTCTGTTTGCAGATTTGTGGGTATCCTTGCTTCTGATGCTTTTGCTGATGCTCTTTGTGCTAACATTTGAATTTTTGAAGAATTTGGTTTATGGTGTCGTTTCAGATAATGGCTTCTAGTCTAAATGGACTAACGGTTGGTGACTCCTTGGCTGAGAATCTTATGGATTCTCCAATGAGGTCTGAAAGCATCTGTTACCCAAGGTATTTTGTTTTCTTATGTTACTGTATTTTGTTTTGTATCTTTATTCCTTATGATACAGATGAAAGAATGATGCTGTTCTGCTGTCCTCAGTACTTCTGATCTTGTTTATCTAACTGTGTTGGATACAAAGCTGTTTGCAATAATCCTGTCCATCTACCTTTTTGACCTCATTTTTATGCTAGATCTATGATCAATCTATCAGATATATTCCTTGTTTATTTGGTGTTTATTTTCTTTAGTCACTTTATAGTTATCTAGGAGAAATGAGTTCCTCTTTTTTTGACAATGAGATTAGGGAAATAGTTTCAATGTTGAGAACATGAACTTTAAGAACTATAAGAGGCCAATTTATTGGTTGCTTCATTTGGGATCTTAGACTGCATTGATGCCATATGTTTTTGAGGAAATGGAATTTTTGGCCTCAAGATGAATATTTTTTTTTGATGGATTGAGTCTTGCTAGAGGCTCAAAACCTAACCTATAAACTTTTTTTAGAGTTTGGTTTGATCTTTTTACCCTTGTTAGCCACTCCTTTTTTTTGTTTGTCGATTCGCTCCTTTATCATTATTTTCTGTTAATCTCAATTTATTATAAAACAAGTTGAAATTGTACTTTCTTATGGCCCTTCTTATGAAAGTGTTCCTTCAAAGAGATTATTGTAATCTACGTAACCAAAATTATTAAATAGATTCTCTTTCTACACTACCCTACAGTTTCTATTCTTGCAACAACAACATCAAGGTTCTCTTCATGCAACAACAACATCAATCCTTTATCCCACTATGTGGGATCGGCTACCCTACAGCATCTCTTCTAGCAAATGCACATATTCATGTATGCTAACAATAATATGGCTGATGGATAGAGCTCCTTAAGCTTAAAAAAGATTCAACATTCAAAACTATGTGAAGTTCAATGGCCAATATCATAGAGAAAAATGTCAATTAGTTGTTATTTCTTTTTTGTTTTTGTTGCGACTCCAAAAGGCTTCATTTTGGAAAGCAGTTATAATAAGCTTGGTCTTCTAAATGCAGAAATTACCTTTCCTTTCTCTTTAATATATTTAAATTCGGTGACCATTTAGCCAATTGAGATTATTTTGGACTTGATTACAAAACTATATGGCCACTGTTCCAAAAGCTAGCTTGGATGCTCACCTTGATGCGCTTTGCACACAACGATCTACCTAAAGGGTTTTAGTAGAGGTCTCAAACCTATACGAATTATGTTTTCATCAAGGAATTTATGCTTCCAGTTTGCTCAGTGAAGAATCCCTATTGATTATCTAGAGATGCACCCAAGTTATTTATTGACACCAGAAAACGGAGAATTCTGTTTGGGAGGCATTGTTGTGCTGCCATGGAAATTTAGTAGGATATGTTGCAGGAGAATTGCTTTGTTCTCATCGTCAGGAATGTGCTTTATCAAAATCTACCAGGTCGAGCTAAAAGAGCTTGTTTTTGGTAGTATCTCTTTTGATTTTCTTACTTTCTGACATCTTTAAGGATTACTAATTATCAATAATAATTCTTTTAAGCTACTCTATGAATAAATTGTTTGTGGTTAAAATGGAAAATACCTTATGATTATTAATTATTCGAGGGTTCACTCTCTCTTTGTTTGTTGGAAATAATAATTTCCTTGCTCAACCAACTGATTGTCATGCACCTTCATGAGGTTAGCTTGAAGTAATCCAATAGATGGTAATTCTATTGTTTTCTTATAACGAGGAAACTTGTAATAAAAGAACTCTGTTTGTCGGGAAAGTAGTGAAAGTAGCAGTCTATTTCATGATAGGAGATGATGCTTAACATGTTTCATTTTGTAACATTGCCAAAGGTATGTTAATAATTTGAGATGTCAAAAATTTATGGAGACTCATATATAAGCCAAGTATAAACATTGTATTTTTCTATTTTTTCCAAAAGTTTGCAGTCGTTTTGGTTTATCTTTGATAATTTGGATATGATGGAAAAAATTTTGGCATCATCTTGACAAAACGGAAGACTTTGCTTCCATTTTAGATATGGAATGTGAAATATCTGTTTTTTTTTTTTAATATTCTTTTATAATGAAAAGAGGAAAGGGTAGAATATCCAGTTGGATCCAATGGAATTATAACAAATTTTGGTATAAACAAGAGAAGCGTGATCATCTTTGTTTGAGTGGGTTTTGGTACGAGTGATGGAATATTAGCTGAAAATTTTAACTTAGTTTAGTTTCCATTTATAGATTCAAAACATTTTGTAATTCATTTGATCGCAGCTTACTTCTTTTTGGCATGCAGCACAAATTACCATAAAAAAGGGCATGTTTCAGAGATTCTGGTAATTGAGATAAAATTTAGATTTAGTTTATTCATTTTGTTTAATTCTCTGTTTCAAATTCTTAAGGGTAAACAATTTCTTGTGTTGCAGGAAATGTTGTTAAATTGTTGAAGAAGAAATTGTTAATTGGTAGTTAACTTAATGAGCAAATTTACATTAACAATCATGAACTCAGACTGATGGACCTGTGGTCAATAAATACTGTCAATTGTCATAAAAGTGTATTTACATTAACAATCATGCACTCAGACTGATGGATGAAGAACTAACGCATGCTATTTTGATGGTGGATTGGATGTGGTCTGCTCAGGCCTTGATATCTTACATAGATCAAGTTTGAATGGCATACGATGTCAGAAGACCATTAGGTTTGGTTTTTGTTTAGTTGGAACCTGTTAGATAGGCTAATAAAGCTATGCTTCATTTGACTAGCACAAATGGCTAAGCCTAATAACCAAGTTGAGTTGGGACTTTATTGGTCGCTGAAATGATATGAAGGAAACCTCTTTAACAAGAAGGGCCTTCCGAGTTCCTTTAGGATCATCTAGTGAATAGCCAGTCCAACTTGCGATATGTTCCTATTTATGTTACCGAATATGAATTTGTTTGTTGAGCTTATAATCTAATGTGATATATGGACCTAAAGTTAACCTTACCCATGTTTCCTGCTTATTTGCTGGCATACATTCAAATAGGATATGTTGTCCCTTATGTATCTTGTGGACCGGGTGTTCCTACTTGCATTGTGAATCATAGCCAAGAACATGGCTTAGGGGGACAATCTAGATAAAGATTACAAAGATTTTATGGGCAGAAATAACAACAAATCTTCAAAACTCGAAGCAGATCCAAAGGACCTGATAGAAGGTTAAGTGAAGTTTTTACATAAGAATATTATGCCTGCCTATTTCACTAATGCAAGGATTCATATAATTATTAATATGAATAAAAAGCATAGGCTAATCAACATTTTTATGTGTGTTCACTCTAAACTCCAATACATGACAGATTGCTTAGAATATTTTATGTTTATGTTGTAAGGCCTGAAGGGCCTTTCTATAATTTGAAGTTTTGAGGGGGCGAAACTGCTTCCTTCAAAATCAATTTGTTCTTATGTGCCGGGAGAGTTTTTTCTTGGACGTCAACTTTGTCATAACCACAACTAAGGCTGTGATGCCAATTGGTATATGACTTATTTTTTACATCTATCTGAAGAGTGAGGAAAAGTCCCATAAATTGATTTAGGTATTTGATGCGCCTTGGTATCAAAAACAACAACAAACTCCAAGAAATTCAACACAAAATAGATTTTTATTGATAGAAAATCAAAAACGAACAAAGCAAGATACAATGATCATCTTTCGAGAGGAGAACATTCTCTCCCAAAACCTAGACGCCACTATGATCCCTCACAAAAAGAACCTACAACTCTCAAATCAAATTCTCCATGCAAATATAACATAAATCATACTACTTATAGCAAATAATAAATAATAAATACCAAAACAACCATCCCCTAATTCCCTCCCAAATCTATCATCTTCAATTAAGAAATAGCTCCTAATTAATCAGCTCAATATCTGTCATCTTTAATTATAAAAAATCTCCAATTTAATCCCCTCTAAATCAGCATCAAATCTATCATCTTTAATTAGGAAATATCTCATAATTAATCCCCTCAAAATTAGCCTGCTTTCCTTATTAATTTTTCTCTCCTATTTGAATTCAAATATGAGATATTCCCCTCATTAATTATCTCCTTAATTACCCTCCTAACATAATGAATTATTGCTTTGTTGGGCCCCACAAGAGGGGCCGAAATCTCCCTGTATTTTGTTTCAGGTTTTGTTCCCTCCACTGTCGGTCTAGCCTCCCTTGTCCTGCAGCCGTAACACCAAAGACTCACCTTGTCCTCAAGGTGGAAGGATGGGACATTGTTCATGACTTTCTTCAGCTGCTCAGTTAGTGGCCATGCTATCATCCACTGGAACCAAGCTAAAGCTTTGCTCTCCAGACATAACAATGCAGCTGTAAACTTCTCCTCATTCAACCCATTCTCCATGAAATACATCTCCACTCGATATAACCACCCATAGGCATCCTTTCCTTTAAATATTTGCATCCTCAACTTCCTCACCCTAGGGTCACTACCACCCCAATAGCTTCTTCCTCCTCCTGTGTAGCGGTTGTCATGATCCCTCCATGTTTCCCCCGTGTATCGAGGGCGTGATTCCCACTTTTCTTCCATCTGTTCTTGCATGACACGATCCCATGATTCAGCTCGATCCCCTCCATCTCAGGTCGCGCACTCCCCTTACCGGAAATGCCTCCCATATTGGTCGGCCACTCCACCACACAATTCCCTCTTTGCTATCTCCTATTTTGGAAACCCTGATCCACGCTTTATTAGAGCCCTGGGAGGAGGCTCTTGATGGACAAAACTCTTCTTGTTGGACCCCTTTCGTCCGATCTCCTTTCCCTTAGATTCGGCCAAGGAAATTCCGGTCAAATCTTCGTTAGGGTTAGTAATTGGAACCACTAGTGGAGTTTTGGATTGCATCTTCTTGAGTTTCCTTAACATTTTTTCTATCCTCCAAATCGTCTCTCCATCGGATTCTCCATAGTTAAAACTTCACCTTCATGCCGAATTTGATTTGCTCTGTTTTGCCTTTCAACGCATCCACTTTCTTTGCTGTCATCTCTCCAAAAATCTCACTCTGATATCAATTTGATGCGTCTTGGTATCAAAAACAGCAACAAACTCCAAGAGATTAAACACAAAAATAGATTTTTATTGATAGAAAAATCAAATATGATCAAAATAAGATACAATGATCCTCTTTCGAGAGGAGGTCCTTCTCTCCCAAACCTTAGACGTCGCTAGGATCCTTCACAAAAAGAAAACTACAACACTCTCAAATTAAATTCTCCATACAAGCATAACATAAGGAATTATTGATTGGAATGGCATTTTTCTCACTTTGTAAAGCTAATTTTTAATAAAATATCTCTTGAAATAGCCCAAACGAAGCCTAGATTTGGAACATATAATACAATTTTAGTGGATAATTCTCTATGCGGTCCTGACAAAAGCCATAAAAACATCATTTGAAATCTTGGGTTTATGTTTTGAAAGTTATATATTTGGGAACTTTTCAATCTTATCTCATTGACTAAAGCAGGAATACTAAACCTGTTTAAGAATTTATAGGTTCCTTTTTTTTATTTACTTACATCCTTTAAATTCTGATTTTTGCCATTGTTTCTCTTAAAGTCTTAGATTGTATAGTTATTCAAGATTATGCTTATTTCTTTGTGGTGAGGTGGTCTTCTATTTAAGCTGTTTCTGCTCATAGTTTTCCCAGCATTTGCATCACAACAATTCTTCAACTATTTTTACAATAGTGTTAGCCGCCTCAAACGGCCTTAACCTGTTCTCTTTATTTATGTTTCTTTCAGCATAATCAGCTTTTAATAGCTAAGTTTCATTGAATGGCAAGCTTTTCTGGCAATTTTATTAAGTTTTCTTAAACTGTTACAGAGATGAGATTGCCTCACAGTACTCTCCCATGTCCGAGGACTCAGATGACTCGCGCTTTTGTGAAAACCCAATAAGTTCCACTGTGCATTCTGAAGCCACAACCAGCAACACTAGCCCAGTTTCTCCTCACAGGCACCAAAGAACTCAAATAGGGCCGGTGACAACCATGTTTCCTCCCCTTCCAAGCTGCACTCTTGCCGCCGTCGTCTGCTCCCATTCTCGGCAGCAGCGGGGCTCCGATAATGACAGCCGGTTTCCGTCGTCACCCAATGATGTTTGCCATACTGGTGATCTGAGAAGAACTGCTCTTCTCAGGTCGGTACAGATTCGAACACAGGGGGAAGAGAAGCCATGCTTGTTCATGAAAGATGATGCTGGCTATCAGAGCCCAGAAAGGGAAGTAGAGGACTACATTGAGGATTGTTCTTCAGTAGATGGCCTAAATGAATCTAAGTTTGGCGAGGAGTGATTGCAGCCAGAAGTCTTCTTCAGCATTTTCTGACACTGATTTAGGGTTCTTTCTGTTCATCTTTGAGGTAAATTTGCCTTACCTTTTTGCTAACTTTTAAAGCAGGACTATTTTCTTGTTTTTTAACTAATTCCCTCTCTAAGGTATTGTACATCCTGATGCTAATTAATTTAGCTATCTAATTTATGATCAGCTTCTTTTTTTTTTTGTTTTGTTTTGTATCTAGAGCATTTTGTGCTATTGTTAGAGCTTTTGCTGGGTATAAATCTCCCTTCTTTTTATGCGAGATTTAGTTTTTGTTTGGGATAGCTTTCATATTATTTTTTTAAAGTAGCTTTCTAATACAAATATTTCTTGAATTAGCAATATTTATATTTATTAAATTATTTGCCAAATAATTCGGAATGAATTAATAAACTATCATCCATACAGTCCTGATAGAAATTTATGTGGACAACCAATTGCATCAAATACCTGGACTTCAAAATGGATTGACAGGTCTGATTCAAAATTGATCTGAATCGAATTTAATCAACTCGAATTTGACCCATTAAATAAACAGGTCAAAAACACCAATTCAAACTCAATCTGCTAAAAATCTGAATGATTTAAACCCGATTCATTAACTCATTTTAATTAATTTTTTTAAAATTTATTAACTACATATTTAATTAGCAATAAGAAAATTATATTTACAAGGAAAAAAATAAAAAAAATATTAAACAAGTCATTTTTGAGTAAAAAATAAGTTTGTGGATCAATCTAGATCAAAGCCGTTGAAGAAAATCCTAATCCAAGTCCGACGACTAATTTATTAAACGGGTCAATTCGAACATGAATTTTTTGAATCAAATTAATAGATCCGATCATTTTTTTTTAACACTCCTAGCCTTCTTAATTTCTCCACCACCAGACATTTGAGTCGCTAGGATCCTGAGCAGCATTTTAGTGGACTTGAGCAACCGTCAGGAGAAACAACAAACAAGAATATAATCTAAAAATTCAAAGCACTAAAATCATGAAGAGTTCTCTTCTTTCTTGCTAAAGCCAATACATCCGACTTGTATTTTATCTGTCAGGTTTGGAGAAAATATGTGGCAAGACAAAATTAAGAACCATTCAATTTAATTTAAAAATTAGCACTATACTAATATAAAATAAATCTAATAATTTTTTAAATAAATTTTAACACAACCGAAAAAAAAAATATATATATCTAATAAATTAATGAAAATAAACTTCAAAACTCTTACTTTTTATTGATATAATATATATAATACCTCAAATTATAATAATTTAAACACATTAAAAAAAATAAAATTTCCTATTATATTTTACACAAGGCTGTGAAACCTAGATCGTGTATAGAAGTAAAAAAATGATGTTCAAAATTTAATTTTTCAATCATGATTGAATAGATGATGTAATAAATATTAAAATTTTTAAAAGAATATGTAAATAAAATAGTAATAATGTAATAATTATCTAATAATATAAATTTATAATTAAAAAAATAAATAAAATTTATACACAAATATTATGATTAATAATTTTAAATCTAAATACCTTCAATTTTAAATTTAATTCATATGTAATATAAATTTAATTCACATAAGAACTTATAAATTTTACTAATTTATATAATATATTTAGAAGTGATTTACACCTTAAATTATATACTAATTTCGCATCATAAATTTATATATATATGGATATATATATATATCACTCATATAATCATATTAGATCATTTATCATTAATAAATTCTCTGCTCATAAAGTCCTATCAAAACCTTCTGAAAGCAACAAAAAAAAAAGTCTACAAAATTATTCCAAAGCAAATAAATTTGTAATGTTACGTAATTTGTGATCATACGGTCATCACAAAAGTACAGTCCCGGTCAGAATCCTAACCGTTGGAGAAAATTTAAAAAATAATAAAAATAAAAAAAGGTATTAAAGCTCAGCCAAAACTTGAAATTCTAATAAAAGTTATTAGACGTAAATAAACTCCAGGTCCAGTTCAAAATCTGCTTAATATTCAAGCAACAAAAGTTGAAAGAATGTTCTTCTTGATAATAAATTCATCCGCCTTGGCCGGACTGATCGACTGTTACAAAGAAAAATTACATGTAAGTCAGCTTTCCCAATAGTACCATCAATTTATTATAGGGGTGTCAAAAAATGACCCATTTCGTGAACCCGATCCAATAAATTCAAGTTCGGATTAACCCGTTTAATAAACGGATTGAATTTGAGTTCAAAATTTCACATGTTTATTAAATGGGTCGAGTTCGAGTTAACTCGTCAACCTAATTTTCACATGAAATGATCAGTTTAAATTAAATTTTTATTTATTTGTATGGTTGTCTTATTTTTTTATTAATTAATCAAAAATCTATTATTAAAAATATATTTTTCTTTTTTTTAAATAAAAAAGAGTTATCCGGGGTCGGGTCGGGTTCAAATCATTCGAGCTGCTAGCAAGTTGGGTTCGGGTTCGCATTTTTATCCTTTTATTAAACAGGTCGGATTCATGTTAATCAAATTCGAGTCGGGTAACAATTTTAAATCGGATTCGAACCCAACCCATTGACCCGTTTGGACACCCCTAATCAATTATCTATGCCCGAAATGAATTTTCTGGTAAAATTTCACTATCAAAGTAAAGTATGTACTGTGTACCTTCTCCAACATGCGCTGGAGCCGCTCAATTTCCTTGTTAGCATATTCCGAATCTTTGTCAATGTAACTCTTGGCGGCCTTCAGGTAGACCTTTCCGTACCTGACAAAATGATAACATAATTTTAACAGTTCAAAAACATGAGATGGGACAGTAAATATCAATAGGGGGTTCCAAAAGGGCAATTGGAGTCGTTACCTTACAGAGGATCCCTCTAATTTCTCAACTTCCTCTTCTATTTTTGAGAGCACTGCCTTCCGCTCATCGTTGGCAACACTGATGAGTTCCTTCACTAACGAATCTATAGTTGCCACAATACCAGCCTGAAGCAAGGAGACCAGGAAAAGTCAAGAAATAATCTTAAGTGTTTGCAAGCTGCGATAGAGTTACATAGGCTACTGGCCTGAGAAGTTAGTTGTCCCGTTGTATCACGGCTTGCGCCACTCTTCTCATTGATAAAACTAACAAAAGCATCCAAGTCGCGGCCACCATCGTAGTCTTCACCAGCTTTGTTCGTCTTGGGAAAGAACTTCAGGGTAGGATAGCCAGTAACTCCGAACCTATTCGAACAATTCAATGAGCATATTAGCAAGAGGGTGGAAGAAGGAATTATTTTGAAATGCAAAGAAATATGTTTTCAACTTACTTTTCAGCCAAATCTTTGTACTTGTCAGCATCTAAATTAGCTATGACAACATCTTCGTCCAATTTGTAGACATTGGCCAGTTTCTCATAAATCTAAAGACAATATATAAATATCAAGATTAGCTGGAGGTGTAGATGGACAGTTTTGAATGCAATGTATGTAAACCCTCGTAAAACTAAATAGAAGTTGTTATGCACTTACAGGAGCAAGCATTTTACAGTGACCACACCTGCATAAAAAAGTGATTTATTATCACAACAACAAAGTAAATATTCTTTATGTTGTTAAACTTTACTGATTGAAATGTATTGAATGCCAATAATGCCTGCAAAAGATGGAAAGAAAAGAAAAACTGACCAAGGTGCATAGAACTCCACAAGGACATCTTTGTTTGAATCGTGGACAACCTGATCAAAGTTCTCAGGAGTAAGTATCACGACACTTGAAGGAACACTTGCTATCTTCACATTAGTTCCTGCAGTCGCACATTCATAATTATGAGCAAAAATGTTCAATAATTGATTCCTAGATTTACCTCAAAAGGAAGTTAGATGAAAAAGGTAAATTTCTAGCACACTTGAAGATTAGAGAGCTTAGATGTTGCTTTGCAAAGGGTATGATATAGGCAACAGCATCAATCAAAAACCTGAAATGAAACGAGAACAGCAAGCAAGTCTAAACCAAATTTGCATGTTATAACTCACCAAGACAGGTGGCAGGAAGAATACATTTTAAATAGGAAAATTTTTGGGTTTGGATAACCCAACTAAATTTTGATTATGAAAGAGTCTCAATGCCATTAGATTTATTTTGAGATTAGTGCAATACATTGAAAGTCAATCAAAATTTATATTATACTTATCTCAAAGTAAATTCCCCGACATTGAGATCCATCATGACCAAAGATTTGATCATGATATACTAAGCTAGTTTTTTTTTTAATTTAAAATAAATCTAAGAAAAAACTTATAATAATTCCCAACTATTCATATGAGACCAATTTAGTCCAAGAGTATCACATTTATCCAATTTTTGCATGCAAAATTGATCCTAATTTAGTCTCTCAATTACGCATAACGGCATAAGTGATCCAATTTAATCCCTGAGTGATCATTTGGGATCATTCTTGTATACTCGAGAGACCAATTGGATATATGTGATATCCTAAGATTAAATTAGCCACTTTCAAATAATTGAGACTATTTTGGGCTTTTTTCCAAATAAATCAATTTTGGTTTAGAGTTTTTTTTTTCCTTCTTACATGCAATGACTTCATATATAACTAAATTAATCATTTATGAGCCCAAAAAGATAATCTAAATGAATCAACTTCAAAAAAAGGACAGTTTTGAATAAATTGACTTAGTTGCAATGCAACATTTAGATTGGAATTGGAATCAAAATTGGCCCTGCCATTTAAAGACTACTAACTAACCTCATAGAAAGCTTTCTTATTGAGCTAAATATGGCAAAAAAGAGGAGTTTATTGTATTCATTTATTGTACAATACCCAATCAACTTTATATAATTATCTGGGCATGACAAATTTCATGGTTGGATCAAACTGCACTAGGGGTGTAAAAAAGTTAAGTCGAACTCGAGTCAGAGCTAACTCAAGCTCAGTTCACCTACCTAACAGCAAGCTCAAGCTCATACAACAAGATCAAGCTCGCCTTACCAAAATAACAGTACATTAGAGCTCGACTCGTGAGCTCGAGCCAATCCAGGGTAATATTTGAACACGAAAGCTTGTTGGAGAGGTCATGTTGGGAAAATGCTAGAGAATGCATTGACGTCACCAGCAGAACTACAAAATCGTGATGGGATCTCCCTAGAGAAGTCGTGACAGAACTCGCCAGAGAATGCATCGTCGACACTAAGTGAGATTGTGATGGAAGCTCACTAAAGAAGGCATCGATGTGAGACGGGACCAACTAGATCACAAGAAGTCACGATGAGAGTTCATTAGAGAAGTCATTGATGGCAACAACACTATTGCTTGAAGAAGAAGAATTTGTGTAACGGAAACTCATAATAGGTGGCATCGATGGGATCATTAGCACATTAAAAATGAAAGGAATTTAAAATTTATGAGTCTACTAGCAAGCCAATGAGCATAGTCTCAATGAGCTTGAACTCAAGCTCGAATCATATAGAGCTCAAATTTGAGCTCAAGATCGAACTCGCAGTTCGATAAACTTGACTTGGCATCACATTAGCAAACTAAATTATAGCCAGCTCGGCTCACTTGTACCCTTAAACCACACCCTTGAAGGTATTGGTGGATTGCTACCTTGTATTAAGAGGTCTTTTGCTTATATATTCGAATTTTCAACTTTACCATAAAAGAAAATTCTCCCATGAAGACCTTTTAAGTCAACAAAAAAATCGATGGAATATTTTTGCATAAAAGACAAAAAATAGATATTGGGCACTCTACAAAAGTTAGATAACCTATGATGCGGCGACACTTCTCCTCAAAGAGGTATGCAGTTTCCGACATGTATCGGACACGATACACGTCCGACACACCTCTGACTCATGTTAGACACGCTGAAGATGTGTCCAATTAAAAAAATATTAAAAAAATAATTGGACACGCATGTTTGACAGGAGTATGAAATATTTTATAAATTTTGTTAAAATATATTTATTGTATTTAGTAAAAAACTAAAAACTATTTTTTTCTCCAAAGCCCCAAACCAATCGCCCACACTCAATATCTCATTTCATGAACACTCTCTTTTTCATTTCTCACTGGGAGGTCGCGGCTAGGGTTTCACAACAACGCTCAACGTTATCTCAACATTGATGTTTGATGCGCCATAGCATCAGTATTTCAAAACCATCTCAACATCAAAGTCTGATGTTGTGTGATATTGACGCTCGACGCTAACAATTTCTACATCAACAATCACACCCCTATACCATCTCGACATCTCATCTTTGTCTAATGTCATCTTAACATCAACGAATGATGTCAACTTGAGATTAATTATCGACGCCATCTTAACATCAATATATCATGCCCATTACACAACAACAATGGCCCACTGTCGAGAACATTATCGTCTCTCTTCTCGATGCCTAACATGACATCGACACTCGAATTTCCACATCCTAATATTAATAATTTTAAGAACAAATCATAGTTAAATTACTTATTATTTCTCAATTATTCTTAATATTTTTCTTATACAATTTTTATACACATAAAAAATTATAATACCGTGTCCAACCCATGTCAGTATCCTATATTTTAAATAATTGAAGTGTTATGTATTCATATTGTGTCGTTCATGTCGTCGTGTTCGTGTCTGTGCATATTAGTAGATAATTAAATGACTTCTAAAGTGAAACAATCAGCTATGGTAGTTCACATGATACCTTCTTCTCTTTTCTAGTTAAAGTAAAGCAAACAAATTAGCCAAATTTACAACATGCTATGTAACTCAAAATTTTATTTTTTGGGTTTGGCTAATAGATCCTTCTTAATTATTAAATAAAAAATCATAAAATAGCCCCTAGACTATTCTAGTGGACACATTGCTCTAATTTATTCCTTTAAGTATATTAAATTGATCCAAAATGATCCCTCATTTTAAAATTGTGATATAAAAATGATCCTAATTTTGTCCCAAAATGACTATTTTACTGTCAATGAACTAAATTAGAGCAACGTAATACTCTATTACTAATTTGACCACATGCAAATAGTTGAGAGACTATTTTGAAGTTTAATTGTATATAATTTTTATGTATCATTTCAAAACATATGCATAATGATCAAAATCATTAGCCTTATTCAAACTTTGAGATCACTTTTATGAATCTTCCTTTGCTATTTGTTCCTATTGAATGTTAAACCAATTCTTTGCAAATTATTTTGAATAATTTATATCCATATAATATTAGGTCTACTTCATTTTCCGTTCTAGTCCTTTAGCGCTAATTTTATCAAATTATCTAATAAGCTCATGATCCACCCTTGGTCGTACATATATACATACCACCTAATCTATTTTTAGTCACCTTATCTTCAACAGATGTCATTCCAATCATTCATATAATATAATCATTCTATAATTTGTCCTTCTAGCTTTGCCACACATTCTTAATATTATCATTTTTGTGACACTCAACTTGAATATTAAAGATTTTTTTATAGTCTAACATTCAAATCAATACAATATTGCAGACCTACTTGCAGCACTTACCTTAAGTCATCAAGCTATAACACTTAAAAAAAAATCAAGTTATAACACTAGAAGTTATATTATCATCTACATAGCTATTATTTTGTATAATAGATCCAAAATACATATATGTATCAATATATTTTCTAATAAGATTTAATGAGAATCATTAACATCATATCTATATATCATATACTCAATCTACTGATTAGAAGGTTTTTATCTTTTAAATATTTTCTTTATTATTCAAACTGTTCTCTTATTACGATGAATATCTCTCCACATAGAACTATCATTCACAAAAAAATCACACCAAAGCACCACGCTTTAAAACTCATTCGTAAGCATCTCTATATCAATAAAAAAAATATATTGACTTGATGTTGACACTTGATGTAAGCCTAATTTAAATGAAAACATATGGGTCACTCCACAACTTCTAATACTAGTCAATGCTCCATCATGCTTTTCTTTAATAATGTCAACATATCATTAGCAAACATCTTTTTGTCTTAAAGCATGCCACATCTATTCTCATGGTAGGCTATCTCATGCTTTCTCAAGATCAATGAAAATTATATAAAGATCATTTCCTTGTTTTATATACTTAATCCATTAATTGTCTTAACACAATTATTATTTTCATAATAGATCGTTTTAGCATAAAACCAAATTGATGTCATTGTTTCAAACATGTTTCATTAGTTTCTCTTTTAGCTTCATTATATGGAACTTTTATTTTATCCGGTGAACGTACGCTCCTCTACGTTCGGTTTTAGATCAAAACAACGCAATACCGAGTTTTTTGAAAAAACTCAGTACAACTCGGTACTCGGTACTCGGTACTCGGTATTGCGCTGTTTTGATCTAAAACCGAACGTAGAGGAGCGTACGTTCACTGGATGTAATAAAAGTTCCATTATATGACTCATAATTTCGATTCATCTATAAGTAGCACAATATTGAATATTGCCTTTATTTTTAAATATTGTTATCTAAATGTTCCACATAGCTCCACAAATCTCAATAAGTATCTCATATGGACTTGAAGTCCTACCTTTATGCATAATTTCCATATCCAACTTCACTTCATTTTTTTTTTTGGATATTTATAATATAGTTCATTGTATTTTTCACTATGCTCTACCAAAATAATTTCTTCCTTCGAACTTTCATTTAATAATTTATTGATTTCTCAAAACAATATTTACATCTCTCCTTGATGTTTTCATTTTTAACCAAAAGCTTATTATTTTCACTTTTAATGCATCTAATTTGA